AAAAAAGGAGAAACAAACACGTACGTAATATATTCTGTTATGTCGACTAGTAATTGTGTTCTTATTTTAAAATTCATTTTCTATTTTTTAGCGAAAACCTTGACTTCTCTCCTTGCTTCGTCAATATTGCAACCTCCTGCCATAAATATTCCTTTTCACAAGTTTTACGATCGTGATTAGGCTCTAAATTTGATGTTGAAAGTCGCTCGCTGGAACTACGAGGATTGTAGCAGTCCTGACCACAAAGCTCATAAATTTATCTTAATTCCTGGAGGGATAGTAATAGGAAAGACACAGATGGGCTGGGAATCAAAGCATCTGCACTCTATACTGTCAACAAGAAGTGGCGACCGTGCTGAGTTTGTGGAGGCTCTAAAAGATCCCTGTTATATCTTTATTGACTTAACTAATGGAAGTAAATATATTAGAAGTTTAGATGATGTGGAAGATCAAAGTGTGCGAATAGGAATGCATGTTGCAGTGGCTTTAGGGTTGGTGCCTGAGTGTCCTCGTCTAGCTAAATTATTAGCAACAAATAATCCAAAACTCTTCGAACTTTCTGACGTGATTTGTGAGATACTTCAACGTCATTTTAAAATGCATCAGCGTTCAGTTAAGGCTATTATCATCCATCTTGACGAATATCAACTTTATATTAATGATGTTCAACAAAACCAACAACTTTCATGGATAGGTTCTCGTGATTTCTTTAAATCAATGCTAGGGGAGATTGGTAGTGTCATGCGTGATAGTAATATGAAAAATGAGTATTATAAAAAATATTTTATCATCCTGATCTGTACAGGAACGTCTGCCATTGACATTTATTTCTTGCCTACAGAGTATACTCAAATATTTTTTGTGCTCAATCCTTTGAATTATAACTCAGCCAAGTCGATGTTTCTTGATAAGTATGATTATTTGAGGCAAACAACCAAAACGGAAAGAGATATGGTGGTTGAAGGTCTCAAATTACATTATTCCTCTGATCTTAATAATAAAAATATCGAAAGTTTTTCAATGGAGTTTTGCAACTTTGTCCTAGATCAGCAACACTTTCGCATTGCTATTTTTGACACTGGCTTCATCCCGAAGTTCATTGATAATCTCTTATGCCCTTCTGTTCTCATGTCAAATTTTGATTAAGGAAATCAACATTTTACTCAAGTGTCTAAACAGACTGTTACTATGGTTGGAAATGATTCAGGTAGTTGAAAAAGTTTTGATAATATACGTACCGTAATCTTATTTGGGTTTACTAGGTAACTTATTACATGAGATTTTCTGCTACCCAGCCTCACATCCATTGGTGAACTTGAGCGAGCTGGTTTAATCTACCTCTCTAACTCTTAATGTGAATGGTATACCATTGTTATGCCCTTCATACTGTTGAAGGTATTCAACAACAGTCTCATGGCATCTCGAGTAAAAACTGTATTTCCAGATCACCTTCTTTTTATTCTAGCACATGATTCCCCTTGGCAATGGAAAGACTTTGAACTTCTATTTGGATATTACCAAAAAGCCATTATTAATAGTTTA